TAGGGTTGTCATTGTCAAGAACAATGAAATTGCGTTTGGGGCTTCCATACAACCCAAAAAAAAAAAAAAAAAAAAAAAAAAAAAAAAAAAAAAAAAAAAAAAAACCTTAACGATAAATGGACGATAACCACCCCAAGTGCCAAAAAAACAAACGTTTTTTTTTTTTCATTTGATGGGGCTGTGGCAGGCAGCATAGTTCCTCCAGTTATTTTGATAATATTATTCCCCCTAGACCTATTCATTGCAATTATATTATTACCACTTTAAAGGACTGTAAAATGTCACTGAAAATAAATGAAGACAATAGTAGTAAGTACTTTTAGTGGTTAAGATTTATTAACTGAACAAAATAAAAAGTGTAGGATACAATATGTAACCATGCTCTCTAAAAAATGTGTATCCCTTGTAAACAAAATAGTTTAATAATAAATATGTTTCACATTGGCTATTCACAAAGTAAACAATGATTGTGCAAATGTAATGCCATCATGGACAAAGGCCTATCTCTGCTAAGGCCTTGAGGTACTATAACTTGTAAACAAATAATGTCACAAACACAAATGTCAATTGAACACAGAAAAAACTATAATAAATACTAAGCACTGCCATGTGACTAGTGAAAACTATAAACTCTTAAACAAAAACATTAAATAGTGCTGTTTGCAAAAAACTTCAATAGAACACTGATAGTTAAAATTAGGCAGGGCTTGAACAGGGCACTTCAAAAAGGGGCAGCAGCAGACTTGGTATCCTGAGCGGTTCAATCAAACTGTGTGTTACCTTGACTTGACGCAACAGTCTTTTTGCAGAGTTTACATTTAACAATTTTTTGATCAATATCATCCTTGTTGAATCCAAAATGTTGCCAAACGATTGATGATGCATTTTTTTTGTTAACAAGCGTCTCCTCTTCCTCCTCCACCAGCTCTACCTCCGTCGCTGCTGCTTCAACATTTAAATCGTCCTCCATTTGTTCACCCGTGTCTCGTCTTGTTACAGGTAGTAGAGTCATGTGACTCCACCCCGTCAAGTCTGTAACGTAGCACAGCGTCTTAAAGGGACATGAACATCGCCAACCTGCACATGCCTTTTCTTTTTTTTTTTAAATACCGAATTTACCGACATGGGCAAAATGACGTCGATGAGAGTCATAAATTTCGGTAACGATAAATTTTTGATATATCGCCCAGCCCTAATATTAAGTAATCCAAAGTATTCCGTTATGTTTGGGAGCATGTATTCTGTAATCTGTAATGGAATACATTTTAAAAGTGACCTTCCCAACACTGCAACTAGATTACATTTTATCACAAAAACAGAATCTCTTCGACAGTGAATGCAACAATACTGGGACAGGAAATCAATAATACTTACTATTAAGTATTACTACTACTTTTACCATTATTTATATTCTGCTGAAAATAAACCTAATCACCTCTATCTGCCAGGGACTTACACTGTGCTCTAAACCAAATGCCTAATGGCAAGGCACCAGGCCTGGATGGATTCCCTGCTGAATTTCTGAAACATTTCTGGTCCGTGTTATCTCCACTATTCTTCATAACTGGCACAGAAATAAAAAAACAAAAACAAAAAAAAAAACAGTCTAATCCCTCCCCATATAAAAACAGCAGCAATAAAATAGTTACTAAAAACAGAAAACGACGCTACTTTTCATCTAACTACCAGCCTTTGTCACTAATTAATACCAACATTAAAGTTATTCCTAAAGCACTTTCATCTAGATTAGAAACAGTTCTGCCCTCAATAAATCATAATGACCACACAGGATTCATCAAAGGCTCACATTCTGCCAATAATATTAGCAACCAATAGCTCAACCCAATTAGCCTGGCTCAACATCACAAAACAGAAGAAATGGTCATGTTGCTACATTCTCGAATTTTGGCTTGAAATCACTCAAAGAAATTCCTCTAGCTTGGGTTGCATAATCCAATTATGTCCTCATGTGTGCTTACTCAGTGACATAACCTCAACTGTGATTGGGCCAACTCTGTTTACAAATTTACAAGTATGGGGCCCAGCTGTCCCAGGTCATCGGTTGCTTTCTGAGCCTCTGGAGTCTCCTTGGGTGGATCCTCTGGGCTGTGCCACATTTGTAATGGAGGGCTCCTGGGCTTTATCTATTCTGCTGATGTGGTAAGAGTGCATTCTGCTGGTAATTGATAGTAAAAATAGTCTAGTAGCTCCGCTCACCCTTTCTTTTGTAAGACTCCCACAGAAAATCAATAAATGAACCTGAACAGCTGATATGAAGGGAGAAATTAGCTTCAGCAGCCAGCCTTAGAGGAACTGCAGTTTTTGGCATCGACACAAATAAAAGACAGATCACACACACTGAACTCTTCAGACCATGTAGACACGAATTCAAAAGAATGAAAACTTCCACAGCTGGAGATGAATCCTAATGAGGAACGTATCGTCAAAGTTACTTCTGTTAAAAGTGTTGAAATTGATGATCTGAGCTGATGTAAGTAAGCTGAAAGAGGAAATATGAGCAACATCCATCAGGATGAGTGTCTTCTAAACTAATAATGTGTACGTGCATGGGTTTAGACACAAAGACAGAGACAGAATAATCAATTTAAACTCTTCTTAATGTCCACCTTTTAATTACTTGATCAAAAATCATATTTGAAGTTCTGTATTTCAATTTTTAAAACAATTAGTGTCACTCATGGTTACAACAGGCAGGGAAAAAAAATCCATGCTCCTTTTGAAGGAACGTTTAAAATGAAGAAACAAACGTCCGGAGGCAATTATTACAGTTAAACTAAACTTAAAATACCTTTAGTTATTCCGAACTTCTCGTAACTCGCACGTACTTTCATATCCTCACAGCACATACAGAAAATGTTCAGAGCAAAATAAAAGTAAAGTATTTAAAATAGTAAAAGCGGAAGGAAAAGGAGCCCAAAAACTGAAACCGAAATACAAGAGGACCCGTCTGAACCGATAACAGCCGCCTGCACGTGACACACAAATAAACAGATCGTCTGTAAACACACAGCACATGAACTTCACTTAGTGGGGACATTTGTCAGCTTTTCTTTTTCTCTGAATGACCAAATCAGAGGTCAAAGGTTAGTGGCTCACTCGTTTTCCTCTCCCTGCTCTCCTATTGACTGACAGACTCACTTTATGAAGGACCACGGGGTCGATGCCACTTCACAGACTGCAAACATCAGACCAGGTACTGTACTCTGACTCTGTCTTACTCTCATAACAGGGATGTTTTCCTCTTCTTCAGAGCTGAACTGTTAAATTTTACCTGTGGTTAGAGGTCGGTATGGTTAACAGAAAATCTGCAGGGGCTGAATGGATTAAGGCTGTTTGTTAATAAGTTTTTAAAGTGTTCATTATCGTTCCTATTGTTGTTTTAGAGTTTAAACAGATGCGCTGATTGGTTGGTTTATTTGAGAATTCAGAAGGTAGAGAAGAGGAAGTGGAGACAATAAAAGCAAAAACAAGTCAAAAGGCTTTATTTTGCTAATTAGGTGCCAAACACATGTATTATTATTGTTCTTTTGCCTGTAACGTGATGATTTGTTATATCTCCCCGATGTTTCTGTGTGATACAGATAAGGAGCTGAATGTCTAAAGTGACTAAAACCTTTGCACAGTACTGAACTTTCACCAGCAGAGCCACCTCTGACTTTATGAGTCCAACAATAAACTGGAGTCATGGCAGTACTGGTCCTTTGAGTCACAGAGGGTGTATAAAAGATTTACAGCTGGCTAAAAAATAATGATAATATCAAAAATAACAAAGCTAGCTGGCTATTAATTTTTTTCTGCCTTTGCAAAAGAAGTGAGTCTGTGAAAGATTTTTTGCTGGGGGAACTAGATGCTCATCCTGATGTTGTTTCTGCTGAGTCCATTTATAGCTGCTGCACACACACACACACACACAGAGAGAGAGAGAGAAACTTGCCATCGTGCTGCTGCGCTGTTAATCTGCATTGCACCAGAAGCTGGCTGTGTGGTAAGCATTTCGATTACAAAGTGCTGCAGAGGAAGCAGAGGTGATGTATGAAACAGCTTTATGTAGGACAGGTGGCTTTCCACCAGCTTCTTCAGAAAGATGATTCAGAGGAACAGGGCGTGTGACTGGCTGTTTTACACAATTAGTGCTGAGTTAATTAATTGTGCAAGTTTTAACTTTTATTCCTGAAAAGAATTGTTTTTTGATGCTTTTTTACTTTATATACTATTTTTTATTACTTAATTGTCAATTAATTACATAAAATTTGAACTTTTTAATCTTTTAGGAAAGTCAGTAACAGAAACTCTCCATGTTGATATATTTGTCTTTATAAAATGAGAAAGATGATGTGGCAGCTCAAACAGATTGATTCCTGTTTTAATGCCTTAACTCAAACTGTGTTGCCTTCTCAGTACTGCTAGAGGTTAATCTACTTTGTTTGTGTTTCAGTTTTTTTGGCCCTGTCTTTTAAAATCCAGAGAAAAAGGAAAAACAAGTACACAGGAAAGAACTATTAATAAAACCAGATCCTGGTCACTGAATGATTGAAAATTTTTAGGTCTCAACAGACTTGTAATGTTTTTACTTCTAGCAGACATGATAACAATCCCAGATCTGATCAGGAAGAAGAGGGATGGAGGACAGTTAAGTGATGACGAGATCAAAGCCTTCATCCAGGCCGTTAAAGAGAAAACCATTCAGGACTCTCAGACAGGTACAAACCATCTGACATGCATTCACATTTCCTCCTTTGCATCTTTAACGTCTCCCACTCTTTATATTTAAGGGGCCATGCTGATGGCTATTTGGCTGAATGGGATGGTCTCCGCCGAGATTAAGGCCCTGACCCGAGAGATGATGTCATCGGGAGAAGTGATGGAATGGCCCGATGAGTGGAAAAATTTCATGGTGGACAAACACTCGACTGGCGGGGTGGGAGATAAAGTCAGTCTGGTGTTAGCGCCAGCGCTAGCTGCCTGCGGCTGTAAGGTATAGACTTTAACGATGAAATCTGATTGGTTAAAACGTTAAAGTGAACCCATTCTGTTCATGCCCAGCTGGACTGCGCTAGATTTACATGATTAATATTATTTTAGACTGGGACACAGTGCAGCCCCCGGTTCTGTTTAAGCTCCTCCCCTTTTAAACAAACTTCTTGTAATTTGTTACCCCACATTAGTAGAAGGTGATTTACTTGGGTGGGTGTGTCTTCCTTTTCTCAAAATGTGAGATTACCATATTAGGAATATTAATTCAGTCCATGTCCACAGGTTCCTATGTTCAGTGGGCGGGGCTTGGCTCATACAGGAGGAACTCTTGATAAACTGGAATCAATTCCAGGATTCAAGGTGGAGCAATCAAGAGAGCAGGTGAAGCGAGCTGTTCTGGCTCACATATATTTACATATAGTTTTAAAAATTAATAGTTTTAACTTTTAATAAATGTCAGCAAAATGTTACTCTGGGGGGAAAACACACTGAAGCACTTTGCACCCCCCCTGGTGGGCCATGAGGGTACTGCATGTGATTCACAAGAGCTCAATTACAATAAATATACTTAAAAATCTTTTTTTTATATCAAATATTTTGATTTTATGAGGTAAATAACCACTGGTCCACTGGAGTGGGCGGTTCAATTTGCCAACTACCAATGAGAGCCAAGGATACTGTTGGCTCACATAACAGAGTTGCCAGGCAACTAGACCCTGGAACAAGTGAATAACTTCCTGTGTCGCCTCTTTAGGCTCACGTGAGGATCATTGATTAAGTTATGTTAAAAGTTTAAGGCTCTAAAGATTTTCAGATATTAAATTGGGCTCAAGGATGGCATAGACTGTATATAATAGATGGATATAGCCACAGTGACAAACACTGCATACTGCAACACTGCATGCTCATTGGCTCACCTCTTGTCAGTCACATGTCATTGGCGAATGAGGATGAGACTTTTTAAAGTGTCTTTTTTTTTAAATATTCAAGAGTCGAATCTATTGACTGAGACCATTTACTCAAAAGGAAAGAATTTCCTAATAGTCAAAATAAAGTGAGTAAGTCTCTTCTGTTTAACCGCCAGAGGAGTCGCCCCCTGCTGGCTCTTAAAAAAAAACTAAACAGATGAAACTATTGACTGTTTGGGGAAACAAGGACACTGACATCTTTACTGAAATTTGTTAATTAATTCCAATGGTAGCTCTTGTGGATAAGGGTACAAAAATAACAGAAAATTAAATATTTAAATTCATAAATAAATAAAACTACATACGGATAATAAAGAGTGATAAACACTCAAAGTCATTCTCTGATTCAGCTGTTCTTCTCAAGATCCTGAAGATCCTGGACTCAGTGGGCTGTTGCATTGTGGGTCAGACAGAGACTTTGGTTCCTGCAGATCGAGTCCTGTACGCTCTGCGGGACATCACCAGCACCGTGGACAGTTTACCTCTGGTTACTGGTAAAAACTGGGATTAGTGCTTCAAGAGCCAAAAAACCTTTTTTTTTTTTTTTTTTTTTTTTTTTTTTTGTGTGTGTGTGTGTGTGTGTGTGTGTGTGTGGCGTGAGTCTGCTTGGCCAGCCCCACAGGCGGAAAGGATTTAGACTTTCTTTACTTGATATGTGAGCCCAATCAGCCTTCGGGGGAGGGTCATTTCTACCTGAACATAAGTTTGAGCGGTTGTAGCAGCATGCCCATTTAAACTGATGAAAAGAACCAGATCTTTTGATACCCACATAAAACTGGTGTCCAGCACCTGGCTGGATTTTGCCGTGGATATCCGTGTTTTTTCTAGTCAGCTTACAGCCGTCTGTGCTGTTTCTGCAGGTTCGATCATCTCAAAGAAAGGAGCCGAGTCTCTGTCTGCTCTGGTGCTGGATGTCAAGTTTGGACGAGCTGCTATCTGCAAAGACTTTGAAAGTGCTACAGAACTAGCTCAGATGCTAGTGAGTACAACAACAATTCAAATATTTCACCATAAAAGAGGGAGGGAGGGAGGGATGTGAAACATCTGTGCATGGAGCGATGCAGCAACACAGCATTGAACCACAGGGGAGATAATATTGGGTTTATTACAGGTTATTTTAATCCAAACTCAGAGGTTTAATTTACAGCGCAGCGTCCAATGCCACAGCCCGTTAATGGCAAAGCTGACCTCAAATTTGGATTTCGCTGTTTATTTTTCTTTCAGGTGGAAGCAGGAAACGGCCTGGGCATACGTACAGCAGCTGTGCTCAGCGGCATGAACAGTACGATCGGTCGATGTGTGGGAAACAGCGTGGAGGTGATCGAATCTCTGGAGACGCTGAAGGGAAACGGACCCGATGACCTGATGGAGCTGGTCACGACTCAGGGTGATGACGTCGCTCAGCAGCTCTCGTCTGTCAGGGTTTGATCACCAAAGTAACAACGTGTCTTATCCGAGGCATTAAAAAGGTCCTGAACCACAAAGGAACACCACTTTATTAGGAACACCTGTGGCCATTTTATTAGAGACACATACCCTGTGGTCAATTTATTAGGACCACCTGTGGCTCTCTAAATGCAGGAAGCATCTGAACCTTTTCAAAGTGGCAACTGTTTTTATTAGCACACCCATGGCCACTTTATTAAGTACAGCTGCGGTCTAATAACGTTGCAGCATCTCTTTTGTGCCACCTGCCTGTTTACCTCTTCTAGCAGCAAGCCAGATAATTTGCAGTGTCGAGTTAACATTAAAGATTATGGATAAATAAAATGTATCTTATCTTCATTCTTCTCCTAGCTCTATATAGTTTTAAATATTGCACTCCATACAGATGCCCTCTGATTAAGAAAAAGAAAATTATTATTTTACACAGTATGCAGCCCCTCAGTTTACCTCCCGTCTCTTTAAGGTCCTCCTCCCTAAAAGCCTACTTTGTTCTGACTGATCAGTTTCTGGCAGTCTACCGAGGAGCAGCACCCAATGCTTGTGAGCTGTACTGCTTGTATTTTTTGGACTTTGTACCCACAGGAACTACTGCCACATAATTCTTTATCTTTTTTTAAAACTCTGAACTTGTTTAATATTGCAGATCCGCATTAACTTGCTAATGGGGATTTGCCGCGTTAATGAGGTTATGGTGTTAACCTTGTATTAACCAAAGATTAATGCTAATTTTCTCTCTTCCCGTTCTGTCCCACGGCTCCCCGGAAGTACATGTTTCCACATCACAAGAAAGAACACAAACACACACGCACGCACACACACGGAACGGAGAAGAGAAAACAGCAAAAGTGCACAAAAACACAACCCAAACTGGCAGATCGACCGGTGATGACCGTCTGTCTGTGACAACAACAAACTGAAACTAAAGATTTACCGGCAGTGGCTCTAACCGCAGTGCGGGTGACATTATTTGTCAGACAGTGCATTAAAAACTCTCCCAAACACACCAACAGCTGCAGCCATCCACCTGCCACTGCTGCAATAATGCAAGCTTTAAACCGTAATACAGTTTAAACAGGTGAGTTATAAACCTGCGCGTCTCATAGAGTGAAACGTGATGCTGTGAGCTCGCGAGACTCCCAGTGACAGGGATTTAAAACATTTACATTTAAACAAACAGCTCTCAGTAACCTAAAACAAACATACACCATTCAGCGCGGAGGAAGACAACTCCCACATTTCTTCTGACAGGTGCGTCATGGAGGAATCCGACAAACAACCGGATAACCTGACCAAGCGGTCCAACACAACGAGAAAAACCGACTCATCAGCGGATACCGAGGATCTACTCGTACCCGACATGCAGGCAAGTGTGTAGAATCCAACAACAAAAAGCTGGATGTTCTAGCCATGCTTCACCACGAGATCAAAGATTTAAATTCAGTTTCCCCTGCGACCGGAGCGCGCACCGGGCAGCAGCTTCCATTCAACAACTAAACTGTTTTACCTTAGTGAAACAGTGAAAGATGAGTGTCGGTGCATTGCCTACGGTCAGTTTGTGGGTTACAACAGAAAATGACGCATTTATTGTTCTCGGGCGGGATTATTTCAACAACCCGAGGACGTTTGGCCGAATAACAGAGAACCGTGTCTGTGTAAACGCCATCCATACATCCATTCGCTTCCGCTTATCGATTCACATTAGCTTTGACGCTGAGTATACGTTCTAAAACCACGCCTGTCCAGGATTTGGACAGGGGAGCAAACTGCGGCAGGGTCAGTCTGATATTATTTGTTTCATATTTATAACTCAAGTCCTCACAGCCCATCTCCATCACACAACACTTTCTCATATATTCATAAACTTTAGGCTACACAGACACACACCCAGATCCCATGCTGCACATACATACATGCCAAAGTTCACATTATTTGTGTGGCGCCTTTCGCTCAGGTTTCTTGGAATGTGCGCGGTATTCGTTCACAGGTGAAAAGCGCAACAATTCTGAAATATGTCACAAAATGAAAGGTAGCCATTCTCCTCAGGAAACACATCTACAAAAATCAGAAGAAAGGTACAGGCTCTAATTGAATCTGTCCTTTCCAGCTTGTTATAATAGTAAACAAAGAGGTGTGTCTATCTTGTTACATTTGCTCTAATAGACACAGAAGGTCGATATATAATTATTAGGGGTGCAACGACACTGGTATTGATATAGAATCGTTCATACAGTGCTTTCGGTATGCATATGTATCAACAATACAAAATTTTTAATTTATTT